ACTCTGATAATTGTTTGCATCTCCAAGAGGCTGCAACTTGTTTACATTCCCTCCCAAACCAAGGCAGTTTTTCGCTGCTCTGAATCCAATACACACCACAATTAATAGATTCCAATGCATATAAGACCTTTTCATGTATTCCGTCATTTTCTTGATGCAAGTTAAATAAGAGTACTAAGCTTGTTCTGTGCCAATACTCCAATTCATTTCATTTTCATCAGTAAGCATTGCAACCAGTCACTCGCTATAGACCAGCAACTGAACAAACCCAGCCAGCAAAATCCACCTTTTTTGACTCAGATATCTTGATGAAGACATGATCCTGAAAGAATAAGACAGAGTAAAAGAGCAGTGGTCTTTAAGGCTTTTTCAACTAGATGATTTTGCTTTGAGGTAACCCTCTTTTATTCTGGAAATCAGACCCATTTTAAAACCAATGTAGACTCCACTCAACATGAACAAAATAACACATCACTCAACCACCAAATATCTCACCAGCACCAGAGTCAAAAAGAAAGCTACCTTTGTCCAACTTACAGCTAATCTCATAAACAGTACTGGTAAAAAGTATAACACATAAATTTCTGGATGGGGCTATTAGTGACACTTTTGGTTTTCCACCTTTTTAAAAATAAAGTAGCCTTAACCCTTTAATCTCTAAGAGTGACTAGCATCCAGTTTCACTCCACTGTATCACTCTTGAGGCAAACAGTAAGGTCATGATGATAAAAGAAATAATAACCAACTTGAGAGGTTCTTGATTGTTAAATAAATTTCTCAGTACTATAGGAAATGTACAGAGAGCACCATGGAGAAAGTGTATACTGATTTTGGGGCATAAAGGGTTAAGTCCTTCAGTTTCATATTTGGGCAAAGTAACTGGTTAGATGAAAGACCCAGCAGAGTTTTCAAATGTAGAGGGGAAGTTTATGTTTCTAGGTTGTTCCCTTCTTTGGCAAAATGTTCTACAGTAAAATTGTGTAACCACAAATCTGCCTTATAAGCCCAATCTCTGGATAGGATGCTCACCCATCACCTGTTACCCCTCATACAGGCCATGAATTATTCACTTTTCTGTTTGGAACTCAATGCTGCCTTTACATGCCATACTGAAGGTGAGGTTTGCTGCCATTTCAAAAGGTAAAATCATGATGCTATTGTAAAATCCCTAAGAAAAATTCCAAGTTTATTTTAAAATAAATGTTTTCCATAGCATACAGAACTTACCATTAACACTTTGAGGTTAGCTCTTTCTGAAGGATTCTTAACAAGACTGAAACAGATTGAAATAGACTACTGTGAGATTTAGCTGTTTTCTAGAATGTCCTGATCTCCAGTGCATCTGGATATACCACAACTTACTCCCCTTAACATTTATGTCCAAGTTTGACAATAACTATCATTCATAACTATCATATGGAAGAGTGTGGGAAACATTGCCTACCATTTGTTGACAAACTCACAAAACTCTTCTGAAAATTGCTCTGGTGGTAGCTGGGGAGGAGGCTATCCAATAAAGAACAAAAATGTATAACTTCAGTGACAATAATATACCATTCTTCAATAATATACCATAGTTTCTACAAAGATTTTCCCAGCAGTAAAGGAGATGATTACACAATGCAGCAATCCTGAACTTGCTGCAAACTTTACATCAACACAGAATGCACACTTCTCCAAAGATATTACTAGGAGATCAAACTGATCAACCAATATGTTACTCAAACATTTGGTTAGTCAGAACAATGGAGGGAACAAAAGCAATTCAACTTGCTTACTCTGTTTACACAAATTTTATGCACATCCTCTAACTAACTCGCAAGATAAATTCCTTAAAAATTGATTCACACAACTTTCGTCAGTTTACTGTTAAGACTTTTGGCATCACCTCATTCACAATATAGTCCAGTAATTCAAATATCGCCATTGGCCTTGCATCATTGCTCACACCACTAGGTGGCCTTGTTCCTGGAGGTATTCTCTTTAGATGTGATGGACTTGTGCTTTTTTGGTTTTCTTCAGGTGGTGGAATTGGATACCTTCCAATTGCCATCTCAATCAATGATAATCCAAAACTCCAAATGTCAGATTGAACTGTGTAGTTAGCTCCTTGAAGTCTTTCAGGCTGAGAATTTAAAATGTCAAAGATTAATTGCAAATAAGGTGAATCTTCTGTATCTTAAGTTCTCTTTTCATGGCTTATACTTATTTTTCAGAGTTCATGCACTTGGACAAAATAATCTCTAAGGTTTATTTGATTAAAAGGAAATTTTCTAGGTTACAGAACTTACTCAAACTATGAATGACATACATGTACAATGTATCTCCTTTCAAGTATCAGAAACATCTTTAAGCCTTCCTTATCATGCATTTTCCACCTCAGTTTAACTTGTCTGTGGATTGTTTTCTTGTTTTCTTAGCTTCCATGTTGGATTTTAACTGTTACATTTTAACCCTCTCACTCCCAAAATCTCACTGTCAATTCATCTAACAGTGTGCTATACACTTATCATAATTCTAGCTATGAGAATTTAGTCTTGAATCAAACAATATCCCCAGATGATATTTTCTCTCTCCTTGTCACCTCTTTGGTTGAAATGCTATTGATATGGTAAGGAGAAATTACTCATTGGTCATTCCAAGGAGGTATAAAGGTTAGAAACATGTAATTTCTTTTAGTACATAATACCAAAACTACTATTCACTTATCAACATATTCTCCTTACCGACATGTAAGATCGTGTACCAACAAAAGAATTTGCCATTGAGTCAATTAACTGTCCACTAACTCCAAAGTCACAGAGCTTGATTTCACCACGGGAGTTTACTAAAATATTTGAGGGCTTCACATCTGATTAACAAAAAGGAACACTTGTTGTGATGATCACACTACTTTGAACAAGTTTATGAAGTTGGAGTATTCCACAAATTTACCAGATTACACTATTGAATTTGACAAACATGCCTAAATTTGTTAGGAGGCAAGAATATGGTTCCACTATAATAGGTAAATCACATTAGGTAAATAATGTTAAAAATTGGGCTTCATACACTCCAATGATTTCAGCTTTTAGAGGCAGCAATCGCACATGTTCAGAAGTTTCAATAAGAGCTGGTAA